ATCTATTTCCGGAGGAACAACAGACGCCTCATATCTGCCACACGTGTGCGTCACCGCGTAGCTTCGATCGGCGCCGCACTTCCGACACTGGCCTCGTCTCCTACTGATTTCACGTACTCCTCCTGAGGTACTCGACGTATTAATTGCTACCTACCACAAATTAAGTCTAAATGTCCACCTCATCAATCACATTCTTCCTCATTCCAGAGTCCGTCATGTTCTGGCCGCGGGGGCTTGGCCCTAAATTGCCGTTCAGGGTACAATTATTCTGTTTTGTATTTCCGAACTTCTCTACTCGTCTACATTCACACATACAGGGTTGTTTTGAAATACCCCGGGGTGACACGCCGAAAATAATTTTANCACTCCTCCTGAGGTACTCGACGTATTAATTGCTACCTACCACAAATTAAGTCTAAATGTCCACCTCATCAATCACATTCTTCCTCATTCCAGAGTCCGTCATGTTCTGGCCGCGGGGGCTTGGCCCTAAATTGCCGTTCAGGGTACAGTTATTCTGTTTTGTATTTCCGAACTTCTCTACTCGTCTACATTCACACATACAGGGTTGTTTTGAAATACCCCGGGGTGACACGCCGAAAATAATTTTATTTGCGGCCGCGTCAACCTTCATCATGAAGACGGAACACAGAATGCCGGAGTCATCGGGTAGTAAGGCGGGGTGTCGAGGCCGGGTGTCTTTACGCGGGTGGTTTTCCTTACACACACAACAACCCATTGCGACCCTCACCCCTACTTGACTAGACCAACCGATCCAACAGCAGGCCGGAATCCGGGCAAATCGAACCACGGCATTACTCTATCTTCCACAGGTATGATACTGCTGTGCGAGACTGCTGTGGGAGACGCAGCTGTACTGCTGTCCGCGCATAGGATACGTATTGTTGCTGGTGCCCTGTTTGCTGCAGTTTGTCCCACGAAGCCCTCATTTTGACAGGAGGAGCGAGACGTCACACGTGAATCGCATGCAGAAAGATTANTGCGACCCTCACCCCTACTTGACTAGACCAACCGATCCAACAGCAGGCCGGAATCCGGGCAAATCGAACCACGGCATTACTCTATCTTCCACAGGTATGATACTGCTGTGCGAGACTGCTGTGGGAGACGCAGCTGTACTGCTGTCCGCGCATGGGATACGTATTGTTGCTGGTGCCCTGTTTGCTGTAGTTTGTCCCACGAAGCCCTCATATTGACAGGAGGAGCGAGACGTCACACGTGAATCGCATGCAGAAATATTTGAACATGCCGTGAATTTCCACGGATCCACTGCTGCTTTGGAGCATGCTGTGTGCGATGGATGCGAATGTGGTGTGCTTGCTGCAGACACAACAACAGCAGGCTACACACAACCAGTTTGGATGGTGTGCTGCGTTCCCTCTCCTTCTGCAGACATCCCATGGATCTCAACCGCGGTAAAGAAAGCGATAGTGTTGCTTTTGCAGAGCATAGGGCAAAAGCATTCAGACAACAGCGTACGGCAGGGCAGGGACGGCGGCAGCAGCAACGGGCGCACACACATGCTCTGAAGAAGCGCCTTCCACTGGGTCAAAAGTTTTTGGTTCAAAGATGTACATTTTTTTTTTGTTCATCACTTTACGTCTAGCGCTCACACATGCATAGATAGCCTTTCTGCCGTGTCGGAGCTCCAATCCGTGGTCACACAGAAAGGATCCTCCCTCTGCCCCCCCCTCCCCACCCCTCCTGCGGTGTTCGCCTTCGGGTTTCAACACGAGGAGAGTGCAGGTTATGCACACACGAACTTAAAGCTTTTTGTTTTCCCGCTCTCCATCCCGAGAACGAGATCAATCCGGATCGTGTTACTACACGACAGCTCGTGGCTTCAGCTGTAGGCTTCAAGAATCAGCTCTATCAGTCACATCAATTCCGGGAGCTCCATACGTTGTTGACGTGCGTGTCTGCCTGCAGCACGAGCTTTGTCCCTTTCCCCCGAACGTTGAGTTCGAATACAACTTAGCCAAAATAATGGAGAACGTGTGTGT